TTCCTAATAAAATCGCATATAGTAGGCTTTATCTTACATGTAAGCCTTCTGCAAATATTTTATTTTATTTCCATTAATATCAGAATATCTAAGCTTTAAAAAGTAGTTTTAAAGTTTATCACCCAACTTCTGACCTAACTATTTTCTAACCTCTGTTTATCTTCACTAATTATAAGATATCAACATCTAATCTAAGCATTACTATGTTATAAACATTACTACTTAAAAGTTTAGAACTGTTAAGTTAGCATTGTTTCAAGTAATAAACTTAGTTTAGTCTTATTAAAAACTTGCTTCATATCTTTTTGTTGCTATAATCGTTCCAAACGGAAGCAGTGATCGTCCCAAATTGCTCAATTTTTTTTCTTTTTTTTGGGACGCCAATCCAGTTAATTCTTCCTTTACTAGTTCATATCGCTTTGGTGATCTAGTTTCATTTTTACGGTTATTTGGTGAAACATATTCGATAGACAAGAGTTTGTGTAAGATTTCCTGAACTGCAGGAATGCAACTTGCAACTAGGATTTTGAGATTATAAAGTCGCTTATAAGATATCGAGTTCATGTCTTGGTTTTTGTGATTGGCTCTTATTTTATAGATATAAACTGTATCATTTTTAATTTTAAATATTTCAAGTTAAATTAACAAAATGTAGAAAAATTCAAATTATCTGTCATATCATATAAAACTGCTGTTAATTCCAGGGTAAGCTTCCTACTCTTGCAAAATATCTAGAGTGTTATAAACTGATCTCGAGTGTTATACATTAATCTCCAGTGGTATATAGATGTACCTAACGAAAGTGAAAATTGCACTGAAAATGCATTGAAAGAACATCTCGATTGAAAAAATTGCCTCATATTTATCAATCGAAAACGCCATTAGACTTAGTTTTTTAAATTTAACCAAAGAATCAGAGAATTTGATTTACATTATAAAAAAATTTCATGTTTGGCATATTATATTCATTAAGATACTTCGGAAGTTATTTATGTTGAAGTGGAAGTGTCGAAATATTCACAATATCATGTGGAATAAATGACATCAACTTATCATTATCACGCTTTCTGATTTTTTGAGTTCTATTGTTTCAGAAAATAAGTTCCTAGCGTGTTTAATATATATTTGGCATGTGTTTTATAATAATAAAGTATTTGTAAAGCACATTTTTCATACTCCTCACATCTGGATCAAGAGTTATTAAAGAAAATATTCCATTTCTAACCGACAGTGTTGAACTATAATCAATGTTAAAGTAGTAATAAATATAATAAATATTATTTCATTAAATTATAGGAAAACATAAATTGATATGCTCAAACTGTGATAGAGGGGTTTCGAGTGTTTCTATTGCTCTTTTACATACTCTGTTGAGACCTTTCTGGTGGTGTTGTGTCTAATGTAATCTAATGTATATTTATTATTAATATATTATAAAAGGGAAATAATTATGTAAATATATACATAATAAATAGTAAGAAATAATATATAAATTTATGTTATTAAACTTTGTAATTAATTTATTAAACTTTTGGATTTTGGATCGGCAGTTCAGAAAACCGCTTGTAGCGCTCTGAATCCGAGTCCGAGTCCGAATCCGAATCCGCATCTTTTTCTTAATTTTGAGTCAAATACTTTCGTAAATAGCAATGAATTTGTATATTTTGCTTTCAATTTCGCTTTCGTCATCATTTACATACATTATTATGATCGTGTATCTTGCAATAATATCAACATAATTGGTTAGTTATGAATTTTTATTTGTGTATTTTTCTACCATTATTCTCAATATTATATAAGATTGAAATACAAATTGTTATTAATGAAAAAAAAAATCAAAAATCAAAACATAAACAAATACGAAATGTGTCGAAAATGTATTAGGCGAAAATATTTGGCACAGTTTATTGTGACATTTCGTAGAGTTGCAAAATTTTTTAAAGTTTTTAATTAAATATTTAAATATTTGCACTTATGCTTTGAATTCAAACTGCGGTTAAAGTGCGGTTAAAGCGCGGTTAAACTGTTTGTGAAAACACTCAATACGATGAATCCGATGAATGCGATGAAGAAGATGATGTAGTGTTTAAATTTAAAAATAGTAAAAGCAATAAAATTAGTTTTAATATGAGTTATTTTTGTTCACTCTTATTATACGATATCAATTGCTTATTATTACTATATTAGTGTATATAGTAAAGAATACTATATACTATGCCATTTAAATGGAAATTGTCGTCTAAAGTGACTAAAATAGTTGCAGTTTTCAATTGAAATGAATGTAAATCAGATAAATAAATTAAACGTCTTCATTCATGCATATTTCATACTTAAACCTAACCTGAATCTGAACTCCGTAGTAGTTCAGCTGATGTCGCAATTTATACATTTTATATGCAAACAGAAAAGTACAAGTACTCGTGTCTGTTCTGGCTATGAATATAATTACCAGTAAGAAAATCTTATTCAAGTAGCCACGGCATTGTGGAGGTCAAAACACAACTAATCGTTGGAAATACTCGTGATTTAGATCCGTTGTAGTAAGAAATTAAAATATTTTACTTAAATACGATACCATCATCATTCATCAGAGTTTTTAATAAAAACTGTTTTAACATTTTATTTCGTATTAAAAAATGTGAAATAAACAGCTAGGAAATCCTTAAAAGCGTTTGCAGATATAAACGAAACCATATGAGTTGGTAATTCATTTTATGTATATATTGAAAATCTGAATTTTTTCATCTGATCAGCGATTTCAAGAGAATTAATTTGTCGGAATCGCTTGAAAAGGTGAAAACATCAGCAATATGTATATCAATGGTTGCTTTAAGAAGTAGAATAGATTTAAGAATCGTGCACATACAAAATCACTAAAATAAGGTTGTAAATCATTGGTATCGGAAAAAATTGGAATACAAAAAAAAAATCTATTTTACATTGGATAGAAATAGCTAAGAATGATGAAATAATAATACAGAAGATATGAATAAAATATACGTCATTTATATGATTTATTTAATTTGAATTTCTTAGTCAAATCAGTACCATTTGAATAATTTTTTTTACACACTATTTTATTATATTTATTATTTAATTAAAACTAGAAAATAAATGAATATTTGCGCAATAATTCTATCCATTGAAATGATTTAGTGGATAACTGATTAATAATGATGACAAGACTAAAAGTCGTTAATTAAAGGTGGTATAATAAACGCAACTGAATACACATAAATAAAGCAACGCTTAATTGAGTTGTATAAATAATTACATTTTAAAATTAATTCTTTAAGACGTAATTAAACTTTAATTGGCGACAAATTGTTTTAAAAGGACTGAGATTTCATAATTTGTGCAATCAGTTTGATGGGTTCTTAATGACATAATTTTATATGTCATTATGTGATACTTTTATCATTTTCGTTTAAATATGTAACAGTTATTCCAATGATTCGATTGCACAATTTCTTCCACGACTTTCATCCGCTATAAGTTTATGTATTGCCTGCCTCATAACACTGACAAAACAACCAATTGTGCATGACAGTAGTCCAGTAGGTGGTGAACGACTAGTACGCGACGAGTGATCTTAAATAGTAATCAATCGCCAAAGCTAAAGTAATTTGCAACTATTTTTTGGCCATTGAACCATGTCCTTTGCTATCCTATCGTACAAATTATATCCTTTCTATTGCCTAATAATTATAATAGCTCAAAATTGTTAAGGTATTATACCTCATTTATTTCAAAATTTTAGTAAATTCCCTTTTTGTTGTACATCGAATACTTCTAGTTTATGGTCGTGTTGGCAGAACTTTGGGTTTCGTCCGTAGTCTGTAGTCCGTAACCGCTGTTATAAAATTTAAGTAAAAATTTTTCAAATGGTGGTTAAAGCAGATTATTTTCTTAATATTTGTATTAGGAATATCTACCAGGATAATTGCTTCTTCAGTCTTTATTCAACTCGTGACTTTAAAAATCGGTAAAATATGCGAATATAAACGTATTTTAATAATTCGCATAAAACAGTAATAATTGGAACGTACTTGATTTGATGTCATCATAAGTGGACTACTTTTAATCCAATCTGAGGACGATTATTTATTTGTAGACCTTTTAGTTGTGAAAAATTTTACTTACTTACCGCAGTGGTGGTGAGGATGAAGAAAGTGCCTCCCACCTGCTTTGTTTCTGTCCGCCACATGAGCCTTAACATTTTAGGGGCCTTCTTTTTTGAGGATCTTGGCGAACATAAGCTGTGTGAAAGGTTCTAGTTTTAGCCCTTGAGATTTTAATAATATGGTAGCACAATGGGCCTATGGGCCTATAGGCTCCCCCCTGGGATCGCCGATATAACCGAACCTAACCTAACCTATTTACTTTAGTATTATTATGTAGAACTATCGATCGTAATATAATACGAATTGTTTTACATATCAGAAGTATAGTATATGGTATATAGGTATCTATCTCGATTGAGAACTTAAATGTAATCATAAATTTGTCTGTAATATCATATTTAGACTTAGATCTTAGCGATTGCTGGAATTGACTCAGAGAAGATACAATACCTTTGTTAAGTTGTTAAAAGGCGGAAAATAAATAAATCTTTGTTTACTTAGATTTGTGATAGAACAAAAAGTCATTTGAGATTTTGTTATTGTTGACAATACATTTGCAGTTAAAAATATCTCAATTATTGTGTATTGTAGTCAGTGTTGTTTGAAATGTTGTTGCACTTTGACTACAAAAATAAAAAGAAATGTTGTACGGATATTTCTCTCTATATAAACATTTACTAAGTAATGCTTGAGCGGTACTTAACCGCCCATACACACTCGTTTACACTTTAACTGAGTCTTGCACTTGAATTACATGACATGTTCATAGTGCCTATACATTAAATTATTAATGAACAAATATTTTAAACAAATTTTTTTTTTTAATATAGTAGAAGAATTTTTTGTAGTTGCGTCTCATTAGGTTTTTGTCATTGATACGCGTCGGTTCTGAAGTTGAGAAGTTGAGAAAAATAATTTGAATATTTTGTGTTTAGTAACTTCAATTACTTAGTGTCTTCAATTAAAGCTCGTCTTTTTTTCCTCTATGGTAAATTTCTATTCATTAAAATAATTTTTCTTTTCTTTTCTTTTCTTTTCTACAGAAAAGAAGATGATACCATAAAAATTTAGTTTTTAATGTGATGTTTTGTGAAACTTAACAAGTGCTTCAGTGTGATTGTGCGTAAATTTTCTTATAAAATGCTTCAGTTTTTCAATTATTTTTTACTATTATTTTTACTTTATATTTTTTCAATTGATGAAATATTAACTAAAGTTGTAGTATTAACTCTTACTCCACTAAATTACTAAAGAATCGGAAATACAATAGTTTACACGTGATAGGTTGGCTCCACCAGTTTCAATCCACATGGATCCACATACACTTTCAGAAAACCAATTAATTCCATTGAAGTTCCTGTTTCCTTTAATGAAATCAAATCTTAATCAAATCTTTAATAATAATAAAAATAAAATTTTATTAAATTTTTTAAAAAGTCTAAGATTCTAATTTTTTATTATTTAATATTAGAAGACAACAGTTATATTAAAATTGATCAGAGTATTTACTTATTAGTGGATTAGTTATAGTTCACTTATACGCGTAACAATATTTCACGGATGGAGACAAAATATTCATTTAAGGCAAATTTAAGACAAAACCATGAGCATTGCTTTCTAGAATACTTATAAAATATATGTGATGTCATCATTATACCGTATGATATAGTAATGACTAATGGCTGTAATCAGAGTATAATCCAATATAGTGTTTTTTGTGCTACAAAATAATATCGATGTGACTTAAAAGAAATCAATGATTTTATTTCAGAAGATGCGATGATTCCTAAAGTATTTTGATCCATTGTTTGTTTGTCAGGTTTGCTTTAATATTTTTATATAAACCGTAAACTGTTTGCGAATGAAGTACTTATC